TTCTATTTGAATATATGTAAAATAAATGTTTTTTTGCCTAAAAAGTGTACAATTTTGGGAATTTTTTTTCATGAACATTAATTGTCTGGCACAACGAGTCTGTGTGGAATATGTCAGCTCGATTGGATCACGGGAAGTGGGTTAAAAAACGACCGAAAGATTTGCACGGTCCTAAGCAAGCAAGCAAGCACGCGCACTTAATATAAAGGATTTAAAAATAGTTTAGTGTTTATAGTGTATGTTTTATGGAATTTCGGATCTTGCTGAAATTGCAATCTGCTGGATGACATGACATGGTATTTTCTTATTAAAACCTGATCATTACAAGTTCACGACAACATTCCTGCCCAATCATTTCAGAATCAGGATCTTGATTTATCCTGGAGGAATTCGCTGAGCTATGAAGCTTCTTTCTCACGGATTTTTTGTTAAACTCAGGCCCCCCTTCCCCTAGGATTCTGTTGTACAAGGGGAATTACCCGGGATAAAGTGCATCACACCAAAGCCAGCGGCTAGACGAGCTTGAGCAGGAGCCTCTGTGTTAGACACCTGTGATGGGCGTGAACCGGTCTCTCTCTCCTCTCGTCCCGTGCAGATGTAACGTTCGCAGCAAAGCTCCGGCTCTCCCTGCCGGAGAGGCTGGATGTGACCGAGGGGGTGAGCTTGACCGTGAACTGCTCTTTCTCGCCACCCGCCGACCGACCTCAATCATATCATCGTCAAGTGGTCCATGATGCCCACGTTCTACTCGGAGAACATGTCCATGTTCGACATCACCAAGGTGACAATTGGACCTCCTCCCAGGTCTAACTTTGAACAACTGACTCCGCGCCCGTGTCGCCGCTGGATGTTTATTTGTTTTGCTCCGGAGGAATAACGGTGTCCAGGGGCGGTTTCTTCATTAGGGTGATTGGGCGACGCACCACCAATGTCATTCGACCGCAGAGTCACGCGAGCCGTCACTGTGCCTCTGGATATAGTCCAATCAGCGTCATGTCACGTTCTGTGGAGTACCGCCTCTTTTTGGGCGATTTCACTCCGACTGAGAATCGCCCCGAGTGGCCCCGTAGACTTGCATTCAAAGGTGTTTTTTTTCGAACGGCGGGCGCTGCAATGCATTCTCTACGGCTTCCGGGAGGGCTCGCCCTAACGTGCTCACGTCATCATACGTCAGCACGTTTCAGTCAACGATATTATTTGTCGCCACCTAGTGGAATCTTTAATAAAAGAAACTGAGTGGATTGTAATAATAGTGAGTATAGAAACAAACAAGGAGATGTATTGTAAGAGTCACTTTATTTTTCATTAATATTAAAGAAGTGAAGTTGCCTTTACATGCTTAAGCTGTTAATTTATCCATTGCATGGGTGGACCTTATCCTTATCAATCATCCAGACATTTGCCCCCCCTGAGAGATTTTGCCACTGACGGTGACATTTAATGACCCAGCTACGTCTCAGCGAGTGCCACTTTTTTATATATATATAAGGATCTCGTTTTAAGAAGTTTGCCTAAGTTTGTAATTGAATGGCTTCCTATTGAATGAAACTGGCACACCCAAAAGGGATAAGCCACGTGCACAAGGAAAGCGTGCGCAATGTTCCAAACAAATACAGTAGACTCTTCATAATCAACGTTTTTGGGTTTAGATCACGCTATTTATAAATGTGTCGTAACCCTCCACCACCCGATGATGCTGGATGCAATTACCAGCGAAACGTCACAGTGCTACTCAAATTGTAAAAGTTGTGGTTTCACGCTTCAACACACCGGTGTGGGGGCTAAAGCAGTGAACTATTTTGTCTTTTGTCAACGTGACACTTTTTTACTGATTGGCCGTGTCGGGTGGTGGAGGGTTACGACACATTTATAAATAACGCGGCGATCTAAACCCAAACACGTTGATTATGAATAATATTGGTCGCGAAAGCCTGCTGCGTGCTAAACTGTAGACTCTTGATTATCCGCACTAATAGATCGGGAAGACGTCCGTAGATAATTCAAAGTCACGGATAATCCATAACTATAACCAGTTTTCGTGTATCTCAATGCCAAAAACAACTAATCTAGGTTATACATTACTAGACTCAAAGCTTTCGTGACTTCAGGAATTCATATTCTTTGGCTCTTTCGGTAAAGTCACGTAGATAGGTTATTTTCTTTGAACCCAATCTTTTTTTTCTCACCCGCAGATTTACAACTCGGGAATCGAAATTGCCAGCACCGGAATCGCCGCGTTTGTGGGCAACGTGGCGAAGGGCGACTGCTCCCTGAGGCTCCCGCACATCTCCGCGAGCCTCAACCGCCGCGTGTTCAGGTGCCTGGTGATCTGTGGACGGTGCAACACGGACGACTTTGTGGTGGCAGGAGAGGTGATGCTGAACGTGACGGCCACAGGTGAATAGGGCGGTTTTGAGGGCTGTCTGGTCCCCAAAGGCCGCTTTGCAGAAGATGGTGGGTGGGTTGGTAAAATATATCTATGGGAACTAATTCTAGATTTGAAGCTTTCGTGACTGCAATGATTCATATTCTTAGGTTTTTTCGGTAAAGTCACCGTGTAGGTAAAACATTAAAAAGTAAAATAAAATAAAAATCACGACGTTTCGGAGGCAACACAAGCTTCCGTCTTCAGGTGGAACCGTCACAGCCACGACAGCCGCATCAAGTATATGAGAGATTGCAGGAGCTACCACTCCGTTTATATAATCTCTCATTTACTTGATACGGCTGTCGTGGCTGTGACGGTTCCACCTGAAGACGGAAGCTTGTGTTGCCTCCGAAACGTCGTGATTTTTATTTTATTTTACTTTTTAATGTTTTTACCTACCTGGTGACTTTACCGAAAAAACCTAAGAATATGAATATCTATGGGAACCTTTTTGGTGGTCTCAAGATGACGAAAAGAAGAGGCTGCTTTTTAAATCCTTTATATTAAGTTCGCTTGCTTGCGCGCTTACGACCGTGCAAATCTTTCGGGCGTTTTTTAACCCACTTCCCGTGATCCAATCGAGCTGACATTTTGCACACAGACTCGTTGTGACAGACAATTAATGTTCGTGAAAAAAAATTCCAAAATGTTACACTTTTTAGGACAAAAATATTATATTTAATTACCAATTGCTTAATGGTGCAATGCAATCATCTGACCCATAGGTGGCAGCCATCTCAAGCCAGAGGATGAGAGGACTCTAGCCGATGCCATGCATATAAAGGATTTATAGTGAACAACTTTGTTTTTACGGGTTATACTTATTAAATCCTTTATATTAAGTTCGCTTGCTTGCTTACGACCGTGCAAATCTTTCGGTCGTTTTTTAACCCACTTCCCGTGATCCAATCGAGCTGACATTTTGCACACAGACTCGTTGTGCGTGACAATTAATTTTCGTGAAATTTTTTCCCCAAAATTTTCCACTTTTTAGGAAAAAAATTCATATTTAATTTAAAATACCAATGTGATCAAAATGAAACTCTTACTCAAGAAAAACAGAAATGAATAATAAAATAAAACCGATGCCACGCATATAAAGGATTTATAGTGGAAAACGTTGTTTATACGGGTTAATTTTTACCCTTTTCCGTTCCTCACGTTCTGAAGATGTCGTAGACGCCGCTGCCGCTGTCTGTTGAACTTGCGACTCTCGGTCTAAACGGGCGACCGGACACACGGGACCCGGTTTGTTCGTATCTCTAAAAGTTCGTAGTCGAACGTTCGCGAGTAGAGTTGTCCCTGTGATCAATTATAATTATAAATTATATTTGTAAATTCTGAAATCGTGTTTACCATCTATAACCCCCACCTTTTTAACGCCGATTTCTTTAGCGCTCACTTTTCTGGTGCCTAGCACACAAGGGGAAAAAACTAGGCCGATGGATGAAGCTGGTGTCATCCCGTGCGATGGCCTAAGCGGGGAGCAGTAGCGTAGCAGTCGGCGCTAACGCTGCGCTATGATTTTGGCGACCCGAGTTCGATTCCCGTTCACGGCCAACACCGGTGACGATGATTTGAACCGGTGTCGGCCTGAAACGAGTACCCAGTGCGGTTTGTACACCGACCCCCTCGTGTGGCGTGCCGGCCTTCATAGGTGCTGCTCGCTAGCAGCACTTGCCCCTACAGTCTGTTGAGGCTACACAGGGGATCTTTGCCTTTGATACTCTTAAATATCCTGTGTGATAATGTTGCCCGTTTGGTACGTCAGTCGACCCGCGACACCTGCTGGCTCTGTCCCCGTGACCTACCGCCAGACTTCCAGTGCACCGAGCCCGGCACAAGCGCCGTGCTGTTGATGCCCTTAAAAGAGAGCGTTGCAGGATTAGAGTAATAACGGTGAAGATGCCTCTGGTGAGTCGTGTCCGGTCAGCGCCACATTTAGTGATCGATCTTTGCCCTTCCGCGGGCGAAGCCGTGTTGAGTTGCTGGCAGCGCTGCGTGTCGGGGTCTCACCGAGAGGAGCCCCATCTCATCTTCTTGGTTCTTTCGGTAAAGTCATCACGTAGAATGGAAGTAATAAAATAATAAAACGTAATAAAATAATTCTCACGACGTTTCGGCCACAACGCAAGCAACCTGAGGACGGCTGCTTGCGTTGTGGCCGAAACGTTGTGAGAATTATTTTATTATGTTTTATTATTTTATTATTTCCATTCTACGTGACTTTACCGACAGACCTTGTCTTCACCTGAGGACGGCTGCTTGCGTTGTGGCCGAAACGTCGTGAGAATTATATATTATGTTTTATTTTTATCATTTTATTATTTCCCTTCTACGTGACTTTACCGAAAGAACCAAGAAGAAGATGAATCCCTGCTGCAGTCACGAAAGAAGCTTTAAATCGAAACATGAAGCCCCTTCTCTGCCGCCGCGTCGTTTCTCGTCCGCGTTCTCTTCAGCCCCTCGGCGGCGCGGTGACGACGCCGCCTCCGATGCCACAGCGGCCGCGCCACTCCTCTTGCTGCTGGTGGTGGCGCTGGTGGTGGCGGTGGTGGTGGAGGTGGCGGTGATGGCGGCGACGGGGGTGACAGCGCTGGGCACGGTGGTCGGGGCTGCGGTCTTCGTCGCCATGTTCGTCCTCACGCTAAGCCAAAGTCCGGGAACTCTGCCCGCTCGCGTAGGGTAGCCCCCCACTATTATTAGGTTTTTTTGTTTTCGGTAAAGTCACGTAGGAAAAAACATTGTAAAGTAAAATAAAATAAATACCATGTTTAGTGGTGGGGTCTCCCTGTTACAGTCACAAACCGCACCTCTCCACAACAAAGGTTCAGCCTTACTACCACCCCCACTACCACCCCCACTACCACCACTACTACCACCACTACCACCACCACCACTACCACCACTACCAGGACTACCACCCCCACTACCACCACTACCACCACCACTACCACCACTACACCACCACTACCAACCACCACCACTACCCACCACTACCACCACTACCAGCACTACCACCCCCACTACCACCACCACCACTACCACCACTACCACTACCACCACCACCACTACCACCACTACCAGCACTACCACCCCCACTACCACCCCCACTACCACCCCCACTACCACTACCACCACTACCACTACCACCACCACTACCCACTACCACCCCCACTACCACTTACCACCACTACCACTACCACCACCACTACCACCCCCACTACCACCACTACCACCACCCCCCACTACCCACCACTACCACCCCCACTACCACCCCCCACTACCACTACCACCACTACCACTACCACCCCCACTACCACCCCCACTACCACCACTACCACCACCCCCACTACCACCACTACCACCCCCACTAACCACCCCACTACCACTACCAACCACTACCACCTACCACCCCACTACCACCCCCACTACCACCACCCCCACTACCAGCACTACCCACCCCCACTACCACCACTACCACCACCCCCCACTACCCACCACCACTACCACCCCACTACCACCACCCCCCACTACCACCCCACTACCACCACTACCACCACTACCACCACCACTACCACCCCCACTACCACTACCACCCCCACTACCACCACTACCACCACCACCACTACCACCACCACCACTACCACCACCACTACCACCACTACCACCACCACCACTACCACCACTACCACCACCACTACCACCACCACTACCACCACCACTACCACCACTACCAGCACTACCACCCCCCACTACCACCACCACCACTACCACCACTACCAGTACCACCACCACCACTACCACCACTACCAGCACTACCACCCCCCACTACCACCACCACCCACTACCACCACTACCACTACCACCACCACCACTACCACCACTACCAGCACTACCACCCCCACTACCACCCCCACTACCACCCCCCACTACCACTACCACCCACTACCACTACCACCACCACTTACCACTACCACCCCCACTACCACTACCACCACTACCACTACCACCACCACTACCACCCCCACTAACACCACTACCACCACCCCCACTACCACCACTACCACCCCCCACTACCACCCCCCACTACCACTACCACCACTACCACTACCACCCCCACTACCACCACTACCACCACCCCCACTACCCACCACTACCACCCCCACTACCACCACTACCACTACCACCCCCCACCACCACCCCCACTACCACCACCACTACCACCCCCACTACCACCACCCCCACTACCACCCCCACTACCACCACTACCACCACCACCACTACCACCACCACTACCACCCCCACTACCACTACCACCCCCACTACCACCATTACCACCACCACCACTACCACCCACCACCACTACCACCCCCACTACCACCCCCACTACCACCACTACCACCACCCACCCCACTACCACCCACTACCACCCCCACTACCACCCCCACTACCACCCATACCCACTACCACCACTACCACCCCCCCACTACCACCCACTACCACCCACTACCACCACCCCACTACCACCACTACCACCCCCACTACCACCCCCACTACCACCACTACCACCACCCCCACTACCACCACCACTACCACCCCACTACCACCCCCCCCACTACCACCCCCACTACCACCACTACCACCACCACCACTACCACCACCACTACCACCCCCACTACCACTACCACCCCCACTACCACCACTACCACACCACCACCACTACCACCACCACCACTACCACCACCACTACCACCCCACTACCACCACCCCCACTACCACCCCCACTACCACCACTACCACCACCACCACTACCACCAACCACTACCACCACCACACTACCACCACCACTACCCCACTACCACCACCACCACTACCACCACTACCACCACCACTACCACTACCCCCCACTACCACCACTACCAACCACTACCACCCCACTACTACCCCACTACCACCACCCACTACCACTACACACCACTACCACCCCCACTACCACCACTACCACCACTACCACCCCCCACTACCACCACCCACCCCCACTACCACCACTACCACCCCCATACCACCCCCCACCTACCAACTACACCACTACCACTACCAAGCCCCCACTACCACCCCCACTACCACCACTACCACCCACCCCCACTACCACCAATCACTCCACCCCCACTACCACCCCCACTACCACCCACTTACCACCCACCCCCACTACCACCACTACCACCCCCACTACCACCCCCACTACCACCCCCACTTACCCACCCACCTACCACCCACCCCCACTACCACCACCACTACCACCCCCACTACCACCACCCCCCCACACCTACCCACCCCCACTACTACCACACTACCACCACCACCACTACCACCACCACTACCCACCCCACCATACCACTACCACCCCCACTACCACACCCACTACCACCACTACCACCCTACACACCACCATTACCACCCCCACTACCACCACTACCCAACCACCAACCACTACCACCCCCACCACTGACCACCACCACTACCACCACTAACAACCACTACCACCACTACCACCACCACTACCACTACCACCACCACTACCACCACTACCACCACTACCACCCCCACTACTACCCCCACTACCACCACACCACCACCCCCACTACACCACTACCACCCCACTACCACCACTACCACCACTACCACCCCCACTACCACCACACTACCACTACCACCACTACCACCCCCACTACCACCACTACCACCACCCCCCACTACACACCCCCACTACCACCACTACCACCACCCCCACTACCACCACTACCACCCCCACTACCACCCCACTACCACCACTACCACCACCCCCACTACCACCACCACTACCACCACCCCCACTACACCAACCCCCACTACCACCCACACTACCACCACTACCACCACCACCACTACCACCACCACTACCACCCCCACTACCACTACCACCCCCACTACCACCACTACCACCACCACCACTACCACCACCACCACTACCACCACCACTACCACCCCCACTACCACCACCCCACTACCACCCCCACTACCCACTACCACCACCAACACTACCACCACCACCACTACCACCACCACTACACCACCACCACCACTACCACCACTACCACCACCACTACCACCACCACTACCACCACCACTACCACCACTACCACCACTACCACCCCACTACTACCCCCACTACCACCACCACCCCCACTACACTACCACCAACTACCACCCCACCTACCACCACTACCACCACTACCACCCCCACTACCACCCACCACTACCACCACTACCACCCCCACTCCCAACCACTACCACCACTACCACCCACCACCACCACCCCCCACTACCACTACCACTACCACCACTCCCACCCCCACTACCACCCCCACTACCACCACTACCACTACCACCACCACCCTCACTACCACCACTACCACCACCACTACCACACACCACCACCACTACCACCACCACCACTACCAACCACCACCACTACCACCACTACCACCACCACCACTCCCACTACCCACCACCACTACCACCACTACCCCACCACCACTACCACCCCACCACAACCACCACTACCACCACCACCCCCACTACCACCACCACTACCACCACCACTACCACCACTACCACCACTACCCACCACCACCACTACCACCACTACCACTACCACCACCACTACCACCACCACTACCACCACCCCCACCACCACCCCCACTACCACCACCACTACCACCACTACCACCACTACCACCACCACCACCCCCCACCACCAGCACTACCACCACCACCACTACCACCACCCCCACTACCACCACCACCCCACTACCACCACCCCCACTACCACCAGGCTCAGCCTTTGTGATGCAGTCTACTCTTAGTTTCAAGCCTCACCTTACCATATTAATAAAAGTATGCGGCCCTTGCCCCACCACTTTCTCCAACCATTATATAAACGGAGTGGTAGCTCCTGCAATCTCTCATGTACTTGATACGGCTATCGTGGCTGTGACGGTTCCACCTGAAGACGGAAGCTTGCGTCGCCTCCGAAACGTCGTGATTTTTATTTTATTTAACTTTTCAATGTTTTTTTACCTACCTGGTGACTTTACCGAAAAAAAAAAAAAACCTAAAAATATGAATCATTGCAGTCACGAAAGCTTCAAATCTAGAATACCCCCCTACTTTTTTTTTCTGTGGCCATCTAAACGTCGACAGAGCCCCGGGGCGACGGGCGCTTTAGTTTCACCGCGCTGGGGCGGTCCAGACGCACGACAGTCGGCTGTGTGATCTTCTCCTTCTAGTTTCCCCAGCGAACAAGCGAGGGAGCGCACCGATCCTGGTTCCCGAGAGCCTGCGAATGAGTGGAGGTAGCCACCAGCACTACCACCACCACCACTACCACCACCACTACCACCACCGCTACCACCACTACCACCACCACTACCACTACTACCACTACCACCACCACTACCACTACTACCACCACTACCACCCCCACTACCACTACCACCACTACCACCACCACTACCACCACTACCACTACCACCACCACCACTACCACCACTACCACCCCGCTACCACCACTACCACCCCCACTACCACTTCCACCACTACCACCACCACCACACTACCACCACTACCACCACCGCTACCAC